ATGTTTAATTTTTTTCTTGGTAAGTGATGTTGAGCGTTTTTTGCACAACTTCAGTATATACATTGTCTATTGAAAAGAAATGTCACTGTGATCCATTATCTGTTTTTCTTAATATGGAATAGTTTGGTTCCCTAACATTGTTCAGTGTTAATCCCTAACCAGATGAGTGACTTGCAAATAAACTTCCCATTGTATAAGGTTTTTTTTCCTTTACTCTATTGATTACTTTTGTTACACAGAAGCTTTGAATTTTGATGTAATTCCACTTCTCCAATTTGCATTTCTCACAGATTTTTCTATAGACATATCATAAAAATCTTTATGCAAATTGACATAGCAGAGCTTTTCTTCGAATAAAAGCGTACTTTCATATTTTGTATTTCTGTCAACTCATTTAAGTGTTCTTGTACATAGTATGAAGTGAAGATTTTAATTCATTCTTCTACAAGTGAGTTACACAGATTTCCCAGCACCATTTATCAAAGGGCTACTCCCTCCTTATTTGTTTCTATTTTTATTGTCAAAATAAAAGCAATTGTAAATGTGCAAATCTCTTTTTGAGCCTGAAGTTTGCTTCCAGTTATTTATGTGTACTCTATTCTGACAATACTGTGCTTTTTGTGATTGTTACAGGCTTGAGATAGATTCTGAAATAAAGTAATGTGCTTTTGGTCTTTCCATTTTGCTTTGCTTACTCACAGTCATCTGCACTTTCACCAGTCCTATGGATAACCCACTACTATTATGGACTACTGGAGTATATTGAATTATTTTGCTGAATTCACTCACCTACAATATTTAAATGGCAATGGAATACCCATCTCTGACAAAACTAAAAAAGAGGGATACAAATGAAGGACCATTTTGTATCTGTATATACAAAATAGTTAGAATAGATATATAGATACTTTCTCATAATTCAACGAGTAGAAAGATTTGTACTAATAATGTTTGGATAGGATATCATGTCTGCATCTTGTACTATAAATAGCCACTATGAGGGCAACAATATGCAATGTATTAATTATTGAAACTGTCCTATTAATTGGTTTTGAAACTCTCACTGATATTTTTTTCTCAATAAAATTTTTTAAAAAAGAATTTTCAGCTTGTTTTTCTAATTTTTTGAAAACTTACAGAACAATTCAGTAACTATCACACTGAATCTTTGGGTACTACAGACATTTTGACAGCATTCATTCTTCTTAGGCATAAACATGTTGTTTTTTTTTTTTCATTTATCTGTATCTTGAACCACTTCTACCACCAACATGTTCATAGTTTTCAGTTTGAAGATCATTCACCTCCTCGATTAAACCTACTCATAAGTATTTTATTAAGGGAGTAATAAAAGTAATTTATTTATTAATGGGATTATTTTATTGTTTTAATTTTCAAGTAGCTGAGAAATAATTATTAAAAATTCTTATCATTTAGTACACTGATGTTGTAAATTCATTTTATTACTTCTCACAAATTTTAATGGAATTTTTAGTATATTCTATATATGACTTTGATATCTAAAGAAGAAGCAGTTTACCTCCTGCTATCTACTTCTGATATATTTTTTCTTTTTCTGACCAAATAACTGTGGCTTAGATCTATATTTCTAGGTTGAAGCCTACCAGTGAGAATAGGCACTTTACAATAAATATTTTAATTTTCCTCATGGAATCAGTGAATATCTGGTATGAGTTTAGTCTCCACAGACTTTATTTTATTGAGGTATATTCCTTTTCTTTGTATGAAGAATCAAATTCAGGATGTTTCCTTTGTACACTAAGCTATATCCCTGGCCCAAGGTAAATTCCATTTATAACTAAACTATAGAGAGTTTTTTTTATTTTAAACAAGGCTGAATTTCATCAACTACATGTTTTGCCTGTGTCAACAGTGTCATGTTTTCAGTTGTTCCTTCTGATACTGTCCTGATGACATAATGATTTGCACACATGGAGACAGACCTCTTTGTATGTTATTAATAAATTATACTTGATCATGAGAAATGACCCTTGAGATGTGATAAGGATGTTAGCTTGCTGGTATGGCACTGAAAATTTCAATACAAATGTACGCCGAGTACATATAATGGCTTGTTATTTCTTTTCTAATGTTACTTACAAAGTAATTTTAGCCTCACAAAATGAATGTGGACACACACACCTTTAGTTTTAAGGAAGAGTGTAAGAAGAAAATATATTGTTTTTTCTCTAAATGTTTTGTGACATTCCACCATGACTTCATCAGTTCCTGAGATTTTCTCTGATGGGAGTCATTTTATTTTATTTTTATTTATTTTTTAAGTTTTTTGTTTTTTAATAATTAATACACTGCATATTGTTGTATTCATAATGGTCATTCATAGTACAAGATGCAGACATAATATCTTGCCCAACTACTATTAGTACAAATCTTTCTTCTCATTAACTTAAGAGAAAGTAGCTGTTCATCTATCCTAACTAAAACTCCTAGGAGTCATTTTATTATTGATTGGAATTGCACAGTTACTATGCTTATATTTTACTTCATTTTCATAGCTTGCATTATCTGTTAATGTATCTATTTGTTATAGAATCTACAATATGCTGATATATAAAGATGTCCAGTTGCATGTCCTAACTTTTGTACATCTGCATAACTCTTGTACTATATATTTGATTTCTTATTTTATTAATTCAAGTCATCTCTTTTTCTTAAGTGTAGCTACAGATTTTTTAATTTTACTTGTCTCTTCCAGAACAATTAGTTACACAAGATTTTTTTTCTTTTTCTTTCTTTTTTGTAACTTCGTTTATTTCTGATTTGATCCATGCTTTTCTCTTTCTTCTACTTTCATTGGGTTTAGACTTCCAAGTTTAGCTAAGTACATCAACTATAAATTTACATTGTTTATTTTGAATCTCTTTTCTTTGCACAGCAGGTAATTACTTGATGGTTTTCTCTTAAGACTGCCAAGCTACATATCTTTTCTTTTCTCTCTTTCTTTCTTTCTTTTTCTTTCTTTTCTTTTTTTTTTTTTTTTTTTTTTTTTTTTGGGGAAGGGTCTACAGGGTGTTCAGGGTCTCACTACTAAATCGGACTCATAGTGATCCACCTGTTTACAGCCTCCCAAGAGCTGGGATTACAGGCATGTGCCACCAGGCCCATCTCAATTGCCTTCTCAGCACACCCCAGTCTTGTAATTTCCACCTAATTCCCAAGACCTGTGAGATTGGGGTGCACACTGCAGGCTGACTATCACAACACTATACACAGCTATATATTTCAGTCAAATTCAGGTAGAAATGGCTGCATCACACCACAGTGGCCAAAGAATGCTAAGCATAGGAAAGGATTCACTTGGCAATTATAAAAACAAAATACTAAGCCTTAATCTTCTTGTACATTCATTCCTCTCTACAGTCAGGCCTAAAACATGCAACGTGAGTCATTCTCTGGGAAAATCATCAAACCATGATTATAAAAGCCACACAGCAGATAGAGGAGCAGAAAAACTCCAATCCTTTTTTATTTTGTTGTGCTGTTTTAGTAGTCTTTGTTACTCAGCAGAGAATACATGTTTTGCGTATTTCAAAAATTTAGTCTTAAATTAATATTTTTGCTTGTGATCATCATGATTCTAAGTCAGAATCAAGTCAATAACGTTCTCACTGTTGCATTAATTTCATAATGAGATGACCTACCTATCAGTCTCCTTAAACCCATCCTTTGTGTGGGCCATTGAATTGGGAATGTGATATTTCCCATTGTATTGAGACATAAAGATAAGAAAGTAAGTTATGAAAGTACAAAGTATTTTTAAAATATGTTTGGATGCAATTGGTCAAAAAAGAAAAATTAAAAAAATGTCAGTAATACCACTAGCAACTCTTAGTTCTTTACAAAAGAAAGGTTTATGCTAACATTCACTGGAGAAATCGTATGTCATATCTTGTACCCTGAGCAACTACTTTAAAGATAACATGTAATGACTCTTGTTGCACAGGTCCTGCTTTACCTTGGTCTTAACCATCCAGTAGAAAAGTATGAAGACAAAATATAGGAAGTAAAGCCATGATGTTATGTTGAGTTGTGGGGGACTCAGGTCAATAATTTCTGATATTGCCAGTTGAACAGAAGACCCAATGCTATTATGGGCTACTGGACTCTTTTAGAATATTTTGCTGAGTTTACACACCTATAATATTCAATAACGGAACTTAACTTCGAAAAAATAGGGTATACAGATGAATGTCCATTTTGTATTTGTGTATTCAAAGTGGTTAGGATAGATATATAGTTGCATTCTCCTAAAGAATAGAATGATTTGTTCTAATGGTGTTTGTAAATAGGATCTGAAGTCCGCATCTTGTACAGCAATTAAACACTAAGAAGAATATATGCAGTGTGTTATTTGTTGAAACTGTACTTCCGATTTGGTTTGAAACTGTCTCATTGCTGTTTATCAATAAAATTTTGAAAAAAAAGATAACATGTAATGTATTAACCATTGGTATTCTCCCATTATTTTGCTATTAAATTTTTTTTACCTCTTTTCCATGAAATAAAGATTTTAAAAAATCATGTACTAATCCTAAATAAGGGTCACAAACTTTCCAGGAAACCAAACCCAAAATTAATGTTTAAATTAATTCAAAAGAACCAAGATTTCTTAGTAAATATATGGTTTTATTGAGAACATAATATTTTCTCTTCATTATAGTATACAATAATTACAAATTTTCTATGGTGGTAATGAAAACTATAGCAGACACAAAGAACATTATAATTTGTTTGAATAGCTAAGAAAGAAGACCTGTCTTCAGTGAAGTGATGAAATTTCTTGATCGTGAACAATTGCAAACTAAACTTTTCCTGTAGATTTTGATGCTGAGCAGATAATAATTAGCATTCAGCTTGGTTTATGCATATGAAGATTTCAGTAAATGCATATGAAGATTTCAGTTGAACTTGTTCTTAGCTTGGTCCTTGTAGTGGCAAAGCCTGGCTTTCCATGGTGATTAGTAGCAAGAGGAATAACACCTCCTATAGCAAGAGGGTCTGTAGCTATAGCACCCAGAGTTATATCCACAGCCATAGCCAGAGCCAGAGCCGTATCCACAGCCATAGCCAGAGCCAGAGCCGTATCCACAGCCATAGTCACAGCCAGAGCCATATCCATAGCCAGAGCCACAGCCAGAGCCATATCCACAGCCAGAGCCACAGGCAGAGCTGTATCTACAGCCAGAGCCATATCCACAGCCAGAGCCACAGCCAGAGCCGTATCCACAGCCAGAGCCATAGCCCCAGCCAGAGCCATATCCACAGCCATATCCACAGCCAGAGCCGTATCCACAGCCAGAGCCATATCCACAGCCAGAGCCATATCCACAGCCAGAGCCATATCCACAGCCATATCCACAGCCAGAGCCGTATCCACAGCCAGAGCCATATCCACAGCCAGAGCCACAGCCAGAGCCATATCCACAGCCAGAGCCACAGCCAGAGCTGTATCCACAGCTATAGCGAGAGCCATATCCACAGCCAGAGCCATAGCCACATCCATAGCCACAGCCAGATCCATAGCCACAGCCTCCACAGGAGTTTCCGTAGTAGTTGTAATACATGGTGTCAGGAGGTGAAGTTTCGGTTATAGGATAAGAGAATGTTTCCCAGGTGTGAATGTAATGTGTTGTCTTCCAAGGCCTTTATATACTTACAGCAGTGGATGGGTCATACCTCACATGGTCTCTCTGCTCTCATTTTACAGCCACATGCCAAAAATGTGCTCCTTCTGCATATGCTCAATCTTGTCAGGAATCTGTAGTTTACTTCCTGCTTCCCTAAACATTTCCATAAGCTTTTAAGGAAATAGGGTACATTTTCTGAACCCAATCTTGTGCTTCCATAATTTTACCTTTCATAAATTCCTTTCACAACCATGACATAACACGCTGCCACCACCACATTCTTGGCCAAGAAGTATATATTTCCTTGTCCTTAACACAACAATATTGGTATCAATCTATCAATAATGCTACATAAGGTAAATCATAGGTGCATAAGTATCACATTGTTTCGCTAATGTGAAAAACCAAATTATAAATATTTTAAAAAGCAAAATCAAAGAAGATAGTAGTAAATAGTTCTGGTAGATATGGAAAGAGGATCTGGGGAGGAAGGGAGAAAAGGCACTGAAATGATGACTTATGTTATGCACATGTGCCCATTTCTCAGGATGACTGTAATTAGTATATATTATGAATCTATGCTAGTAAAAATAGTGCTGCATCGTAGTAGCATGAACAGCACCAGAGTAGGAGGGGCACAAGCTGAATCATCTTAGTTTCTCTCCTCATGTTCTCAAACATTCCTTCCCCTATCAAAAATTACCCAAAATTAGTTTTCCTGGAATTTGTACAAAGAACCAAGTGTTTCCATGTGCTATATGTGTCTAAAATTTTCTCTTTCTTCTGCAAGTGAAGCTTGACTATATCCATTCATTTGCAGAACAGCTACGACCATTCCTTCTTTGGTGCAAAACTTTATCTTTAAATTCCTGAGTCATCTATTGTACAAGAATCATAGTGGATTATTGTGTTAGTTGATACAGTGTGTCTATTTGACTGAATCAGCTCAGGCAGTTCTCTGTGTGGGGGCCTAGCCCTGCGGGTGGGCAGGGCACAGGAATTGAGAAAGGCTTCCAGCCACCCTGCCCGACTTCCTGCTGCCCTGCCCCGCATCCATGGAGAAGTCCCAGTCTTTGGAGGAGCTTGATCTTTGGAGCTGCGCCATTTGGAAGAGCTCCAATCTTTGCCATGGAGCCCTGGTCTTAGCAGTTCCTCTGCTCTTCATTGTATTCTGCCGCATGAACTGCCGTTGTTTGCCTTGGAGCCAGCAGAATATGGACTGAACCCTCCAGTATCTATGAGCTAAATAAACCTTTCCTTCCTTCATTTTGAGTGTCGGGTATTTGTCCCAGCAACAAGTAAAAATTAACCAAGACAATTATTTAAGGGATAAAATTTTCCAATTCTCAATAATAAGTTCGGCATTTTTGAGATTACTCAGACTACTCTGAGGTTTGTGAGGTATATCATTGCTTTTCACTAAAATTTAATTACTCAATAGTCCATTGCTCTACATTACTGTGATCAATGGGAAAGAAGAAAATTGATTTACAGAGCCAATATTTCAATGAAAAGGAACAAACCTTAGCATTGAATTGCACAGAGTATTTATTATAATAAATAATAATACATTGTGTACTTCTAAATTATGTCTTCATGGGCCAGGGAGATAGCTCAGTAGAATAAGTGTTTGCCTGGCAAGTGCAAGGTCCTGAGTTCAATTCCTGGCACCACATAAGAAATGAGAGAAAGAAGAAAGAGAGAGAGAGAGAGAGAGAGAGAGAGAGAGAGAGAGAGAGAGAGAGAGAGAGAGAGAAAGTCCTCAGGACAAAAATGTGGCATATATAGGAGTTGATGTACTTGTCCATCATTTTGATATAATAATGCAACAGTATTTTCTTTAGTCTTACTTGATGAACCAAAGCAATATCTTAATAGTACTATTGTATTTACTGATATTATTTGGTAGAGTCTAACTATCCATTTATCAATAAAAGACCCCAATTTATCTTGTTTTATAGCTGAATTATATTCCATTGTGTAAAAATATCACATCTTCCTTATCCATTCTTCAGTTAATGGGCATCTGGGTTGTTTCCAGAATTTACCTCTGACTACCTATGCTGTTATAAACATGGGTGTACACATATTGCTGTGGAGTTTTCCATATCTCCTGGAAAATACTCAGAAAGGAAATAGCTAGCTTGAATGGAACCTCTAATCCTAGCTTTTAAAGGAACTTCCACATGGATTTCCACAGTGTTTGCACCAGTCTGCACTTCCACCCACAGTACAGATGAGTTCCTTTATCTCTACAACCTCTCCAGCGTTTGTTATTGGCTGGCTTCTTGATGTCAGCAAGGAAATTTACTGTACATTTCTATTAACATTGTGGTCTTCTGAGCATCTCCATGAATATCTCATCAAAATGAGCTTTCTGGGGTGAGATGGAATCTCAGCATTATTTTAATTTGCATTTCTCGAATGACCAATGATGGTGAACATTTTTTCATTACCATTCATATTTTCTTGCCATTTGTACTTGTTCTGGGAGGTGTATATTTGTGTCAGATGCCAATTTTTGGATTGGATCTTTGAATTGGGGGACCTGATTTTTTTAATTCTTTATATGTTCTAGCTAGAAGATATTTTTGGGAGGTACGGTCAGCTATTATTTTTTCCCAGTTTGTGGGGTTTTCTGTTCACTCTGTTAGAGATTGCTTTGAAGTTCAGAAACCTTTCAAAAAGATGAGATGCTAGTCGTTGATTCTTTGAAGTATTTCCTGTGCAGCTTGGTTTTTGTTCATTAACTCTCTACCTTCCCCTATGTCTTGAAGATTTCTACTTACAGTGTGTACTTATAGTACACACTGCCTTCGTAAGTGAACGCTGCCTTCATATGCTTTCTTCTGAAATCTGGGTGGAAGAATCCTTAACCTCACAATTAATTCAGTCTATTCACATGTAAAACCAGGATTATTTGGATGATGCCCAAGTCTGCCACTATCTTAAGCAGTAGCATGGACCATTTGGTTAACAGCTATAGGAGCTGGATTCCTGAACTGTACCAAACTCTTCCATTTGGTCCTGAGTGAACTGGGTTCCTTGGAGCTCTCTTTTCAAAGGAGTAATTTATTTTTCACTTTATGAAATGTGGGCTCTTGTTCACTTATGAGGTGCCCTCATGGCATCTTTCCTATTTTCCTGATGTAAAAGTAATTAACTTTTTAAATGTCAATCTTCTTAGCAACCAAGCTCTTCTCTATCAAAACTTTACTGGCCCCTCCTCTCCAGAAAAGGTGAAAATTTTTACAATCGCTCAGCTGTATATTTTGCCTTTGATTTTCAATGTCAATATCACTAAAAGTTCCCAACTGTACTCACACCATAGCCTGCACACTAAGTTGCCTTGAAATTCCCATACCAGATTAATTACTAGTGGGCCTTAATCTCAGTCTCCCATAAAGACTCAGGACATGAGGAAAATATAGGCAGATTTTCTGCCTGTGGGTGACATACAGGTTCTCTGGTCCAATTGCCAATGATGTCCTTGTTCCTAATAGAAACCTCCTGACCCTGAAATTTACTGTACATTTCTATTAACATTGTGGTCTTCTGAGTATCTCCGTGAATGTCTCATCAAAATGAGCTTATAACATTCTAGGGTTTTTGTATTAGGCATCTCCAAACTTGTGTGTGTGTGTGTGTGTGTGTGTGTGTGTGTGTGTGTGTGTGTGTGTGGTACTGGGGATCAAGCTCAGGACTTGTGTTTGCCAGGCCAAGTGCTTATGGCACTGAGATATATTCCTTTGCCTCCAAACTATTTTAAGCACCTCATAAGAACCAATTTCAAGGCTTCTACACAGAAATGTCAGGTACAGTCACAACAATTACACTTTAAAGGGGGAGAGGTTTACTAGGGTCCCTGGTTACAGCCAATGTTCGCTGGCAAAAGGCAGAATGACATGGCAGAGGTATAAAAGATTAAAAGCTGCTCATAGCATATCATGCAGGAATTAAAGAGAGAAAGGAGGAGCCAGGCAAGGAGCTAAACCCTTCCAGGTCATGCTCCCTATCCATTCTTTAAGGCCTACCGAGTCAGTTGCAGAGCACCAATAATGCAATCCCATTTTAAAACTTCACCTATGAGCCCACAAAGTTCTTTGGGTACATTCTTGATCTAAATCATAATGTGCCCTTTTGTTATCACAGCGATCACAAGGAGGGGCTATAGGACATTAGGAATTATCTTTCAAAAAGCGAAATTTACAATCTTATAGATTTATGGAAAAATTCTACAAAACATATATTAAAAGTAGAATCAATACTATTACTTTCTCAATTATTCCAAAAATCTGAAAAGGATGAAAATGTACACATTTGCTTAGTAAATTAGTATCATTCTGATAGCAAAAATGCAGAACATTATAAGAAAACAATAATGGATGAAAACCCTAATAAATATAGGAGGAAAATCCACAATGACATATTAGGTTTTTTTATAATTTTATTGAAGTAAGAATTAGCAATGAGACAGTTTCAAATCAGGTTAGTAAGACAGTTATAATAATTAATATACTGCATGTTGTCTTTGTAATAGTTATTCATAATACAAGATGCAGACATGATATCTTGTCTAAACATTATTAGTTCAAAACTTTCTTTTCACTGAACTAAGAGAAAGTAGCTGTATATCTATGCTATTTTGTACATACATATATATTTTTTCCATTACAAAATGGTCCTTTATTTATAGCCTCCTTTTTTGTTTACTTTTGTCAGAGATGTATATTTCGTTGCCAATCATACACTGTAGGTGTATGAATTCAGCAAAGTAATACAATATAGTCTAGTAGTCTATAATATTAGTGGGTTATCTGCATGATTGGCAACATCAGAAGTTGTTGACTTGAGCCTTTTACAGCTCAGCATATTAATATGGCTTTACTTTTTATACCTCATTTTTATACTTTTCTGCTGGATGTTTAAGACCAAGA